CTCTCAAATTGTAAAAACCAAGGCTGGTGCATGTCTATTCAAGTCACTGAAATAGACTGCATACTCTAAAATAGTCATAGCACCCTGGCGCAACTGCTCAAACTTCATGTACATGCGTCTCTGGGGCTTTGAGGAACATACTCTCTCAAAACCATGTCCGAGAACTGAGTCCATGTAAGGGAAGCTACCTTAGTCGGACTGTCCAACTCATAAGTACGTCACCACTGATAGGCTTCTCCTCGAAGCTGAAAAATAGTGAAAGAAACCCCACTCGACTCTGTTATGCCATAGTGCGGAGGATACGGTGGCACTCCTCTAGAAATCTCTGAGCATCCTTTGATGCTAGACCACTGAATGTAGGAGGGTCGTACATCTTGTACCTCTCGAGCCTCCGCTACTCCTCCTCTGAAACTCTTGCCCTACTCTCGGGATGAGTTGGGGCTACAGGCCGTACTGGTATAACCTTTGGGATCTGATCAACTTGAATCCCCTGCTCTGGGGTGCGAGCAGCGGGAGTCTATGCTCCTCTCCCGACCTGCGATATGGCTGTAGCAAGGGGAATGAACCCTGCCTGAGCTAGAGTTCTTTACACGCTAATGAACTATGCAAGGGTCTCCTGAAAAGCTGGAGTAGTAATAGAAGGCGTCTTAGGTTCCTATGCTCCGACTAGAGCTGATGGTGGCTCCTCTATAGCAGCTCACTCGAGTGCTCTGGTTGCACCATATGTGCGTCCTTGGCCTCTACCCCAATCCTGGCCTCGGGCGGTTCTAGTAGGGGCACGGGTGCCTGGTCATCTCCAGTTGCACGTGTCCTCACCATCTGTGAGAGAATAGAAGATAGAAGATTAGAATTTCGAAGTCAATAATCTCGCACTACAATGAATCAAATGAAGTGGAATTTTCCTAACAGTTCTATAGCCTCCCGAAGATAAGTACAGACGTCTATGTACTGATCTGCGAGACTCTAATAAACCGGCTTGTGACTCACGACTCCTATGAACCTAGAGCTCTGATACCAACTTGTCACGACCCAATTTTTCCCTCCATGAATTGTCATGACGGCACCTAGTCTCTACGGTTAGGTAAGCCTAATAATGCGGAAATGAAATAAAAACACAAAGATAACAACAAACAGATAGTGTTAATAAGCATAAATGGTGCCACTCGGCATATTCAATAATCATTTTCCCAAAACCCAGAATGTTGCAAATCACAATCTACTAAGAAATCTTAACTGTTCTATACATCATTTCTAAAGAAAAGAAGGAAAATGAACATGGGGGATAGAGAGGGACTCAGAAGATCTGCGGGCGCGTGTAGATGTACCTTGAAGTCTCCAATAAGCAACCGCGACTGCAACTAGTGATGAGGCTGGTAAGATGAACCTGGATCTGCACACAAAACATATGTGCAGGAAAAGGCATGAGTACACCACAACGGTACCCAATAAGTGAAAAGCCTAACCTCGGTCGAGTAGTAATGAGATCAGGTCAGGGACCTACTTGTATAAATATAAAAAATAAGACAGAATGAAATATCATAGAAAAAATAAATACGAAAAGCTAATAGGAATAGAATCAATGAAAGACAACAGCTCAGAACATAGTAATAGCAACAGGGGATCTTCCAGGATACCGTCCCATAGTCCCAAATGTAAAATGTGCAGGGGAAACTCCTAGAATACCATTCCTTAGTCCCACAGTACATACGCAGTGCTGGGGGATCTCCCGGAATATCGTTCCGTAGTCCCAAAGTAAATGTGCAGTACAAGAGGATCTTCCGGAATACCGTTCCGTAGTCCCAAAGTAAATATGCAACTCAATCAACAGAAATAACAGTTATAGCAAGGAAAAACTACAATTTAGACTAAATGCAAGTCAAGGGAAAGCAGAAAAGTTTCACTAAACATGCTGCACAGAGTTAAAATAGGCAGTTAAATCATGTAGACATGCTATTCTAAACTAAACGGGATAGTTCATATGCTAGTGTAGCTCAAATAAGGAGAAAACAAGTTATGGATTAATGAAAAATGGAGTTTTACATCAAATAGCCCGTGTACATACTTGTCACCTCACGTACACGATGCTCACATATCAAAACGGTACCAAATCCTAAGGGGAGTTCCCCCACACAAGGTTAGGCAAACCACTTACCTCGAACAAAACTCAAATCAATCTGTCACAAAGCTCTTTCTACTAATATCCGACTCCGAATGGCTCAAATATAGCCAAAACTAATTACATAACATAAATATAGCTACAAGAAACTAATCTAGCTAACGAAATCAAAGCTAAAGCAAGAAATTAGAAAAACGCCCAAAAAGCCTCCTCGGGCCCACGTCACGGAATCTGGTAAAAGTCAAAAATTATGAATACTCATTCACTTAAGAGTCTAACCATACCAAAATTACTCCAATCAAATGCCAAAATCTCGATCAAACGCCCAAAATTCGGTCTAAGAACTTTTCTCAAATTTTCCCTAATTAGAACCCAAATTCCTTAATTAAATAAAGAAAACAATTATTGATTAATGGAATACAACCAAAATGAGTTAGGAATCATTACCCCAAATCACCCTCTGAAAATCCTCTAAAGAATCGCCAATTTCCGAGCTCTCAAGGTCCAAAATGGATAATGAACTCAAACCCTCTCCATTAGCTCTTTTTCTGTCACTCAAACCGCATCTACGGACCTTTCTTCGCACCTGCGGCACCGCACCTGTGGAAAATCCATCGCAGGTGAGGAAATGACTTAAAACTTAGAGATTGCATATGCCATGTATAATTCTTTTAATGATACCAAAAGGGGAAAGAAAATTGAAAGGAAGGAAACTGATCCACGGGGGCAAGGCATCTGATTCATAGGGGGAACATATGAAAATCTGGTTCTCAAAAGGGAATATCAATTCTAAGTTTGTTATCATCGAAAAGGGAAAATTGATAAGTTAATATTGGGATAGTCGTGGAGGAAAGATTGTTGGATTCAGATTAGTGAAGTGATTGACACAAAAGAGACTTTTTATGGTTGGTCTAAGCCGAATGTCCTCAAAATTGGTGGTATTTAATAAATGACCTCGGAATCGCACACAGGTTTTCAAGGGTTTTTCTTACCGCATTGTTCATCGAAGTCTATCAGACTATCATCTTGTTGCTCTTGAGGAATTCTCTACCGAAATGGTAGAGTTGATGCTATTATTAATCTGTCTGTTAAGTTATTCATAAAGTCTACCGGATTATCATACTTCTGCTCTTTAGGTACTTCTCTATCAGGTTGGTAGAGATGATGCTATATTTTCTCTACCTATATTTTAAGTTGTTGGTCGAAGTCTACCAGATTGGCATACTTTTTCTAGGTTGTTTTTATAAAGTGTTCTTCGAATTTGCAACTTCAACTTCGATCAAACCATCCCAAATTTGCTCCAAATGATCTCAAATTTGAATCAAAACTTTTAAATACCAACACAAACATTTCTCATTCACCAATTTAATCGAATAGCATCACATTAAAAAGACCTATTTTGTCTTATTCAATACTTTCTAAGATCCAATAATAGAGTTTTAAGATTTTTACAATAAATCACCAAAATCTATGGTTTGAACTAAAAGTTAAGCATAAATTATCAATACTCAAACGATTTAAGCAATAATCAATCATTAACTTTTATTTTTCACCACCAAACAAGAATTTCAAGCTTTAAAAATTGAAGAACTATGGTGTTCAAGTAAAAAAAAGGGGAACACTTTGTTAAGACCGTAAAAAATGGAGAGATTCCTCCAAGATCGCCTCCTTTTGGGGGTCACACCATGCTAATTTCAGGATTAGTGACTAGAGAGACCTTCATTGAGAACTTTGAATTGTGTTATCCTTATCACTGGGTTGGCAAAATAATTGAAGAATTAACTTAAATAGCCGCATATTCAATAGCTTAAATAAAAGCAATCGATAGACGTGTACTATATAT